TACAACATCTAGCCCAGTGGCACTTCCGTGAGAGCAATTGACCTGCAATCAGCTTTGCCTGCTCAAATCTCCATTAGCGGTCGACCCAGCCCATTGGCCCTCTGGTTTCATAAAATGAGCACCGCTTAGTTAAAAGTCCATTGTGGTTCTCCTTGGGAGAGACTTGACCTCCGTCGCAGCATTGTAGAATGACACAGTTTACTCAACGCTTGTCACTGTAGGTGAAAACTAATCCATGCTTGTTTAATGAGACAGACTTTTGACTCAAGGCAACCACAGCACTATTATTTCCACCCCGGGTATGATTATGACCTTATTTACCCGAAAGCAAGTTGACTCGGTCACCGCGGCAGGTCATTGCCATGCTGCCCCTTCCGCTCCCCACTAATCGCCCAGTCTTTGATCACTCCGCTTGCACGGACGTCGACCTGTCTCCATGGAACGCTCGCCCCCCCATCTCTTCAATCATAGACTTGGCTGTCAGCTTTTTAAAGTTCAACCCCGCAGTCATTACTTTCCCCGTCACAGCTCCTATGACCGATCTCTTCCCTCGCGCTTATGTTTTGTAAACAATGCGTAGCGGGCGTGTGTGTGTGCGCGCACATGGATGATCGTGTCGTGGTGTGCGCACGGATGACTCGCACGTACGCACAAATGCTTATCATTTGCAGTTGCTGAGGCAACCCTAAAGGCATGGAATGCAAAGCAGCCAGCAACGTGAAAGTGCGACTCATAGCGCAACAGATTAGAACAAACACACCGATTGAGCAAGGTGACTAGAGCTTGGGGGGCGGGGGGAAACATTGATCAATATGAGGAATTAAAGGTGGAACGCAAACGTTCTGTCCCGTTATACCTGGCCGTTTAACACGTCGCCGATGGGAAGAAACAATCGAGTGAAACAGCTCCCTGAGGTTAGAGGCGGTGTTAAGGCCTGATGCTCGTGGGAGCAGCGACCGTGGTAGTCAAAGCAATAACAGAAGGGTAAGGGAACAGCCAACGATGGCGAGAGAGTGGCGAGAGTGTTCCAGTGGTGTTTAGCACGCACTGCGCTGTGATCCAATCAACCCAAGATTCATTCCTGGCCCAGCACACCCCAGTGGCAAGCCGCATATGACTTCCAGACTACAGTACAGTCCCGAGGTTGCCAAGGTGGCGTTTTCTCGTTCGCTGCTTCGCCATGCGGCGTCGCGGCTTCGTTGGGCGCTTGCTCGCAACGCTTCCCCCCCTACAATCTGTAGCGATTAACTGAGAGTTAAAAGTGGTTGTCTCTTTACGGGCGCATTGGCTGCTATTATATAATGTCGTTCACCCCCCTCTGGTACTCAATGGGAGTAAGTTGAAGTGCCGCTAGTGGTCAGCGCCCCGCACTATTGAACCTGGGCCACCTGAGTTGAATTCCCAGCCGCAGCGAACATTTGTGGTGAAGTGGTATTGGAACTCGTTCTAGGCCTTTCCTCTTGACCAAACGGCAATGACTAGCATTGCCGGATTATCTTATCCTACAAATGCTACGAGCCACACTTTCAAGGGCCCCGCGCTACATGTTTTAAGCTGTCAATTCCGGTTCAGTGATTCTGCACTTGCTCTATTACTATAGTACTATACTGCCTTCAACTTTTATGAAGGACTGGGTGTTTAAGGTTAGCTATTTGTCGTGTTATCCGACTTTATAGCAAAATGAAAAAAATACAATTACTTTACTATGCAAGTAAAAATGTTTGCGTTTTAATATTTATGCATTTGTTTTATTTCGGGCCCCTTTATAACATATGCTACAGGCCCCGCACTAGCTTAATCCGGCACTAACATGGTGAAGTTGGGTCAAATAACTCACATGGCCATCATAGCGTGGATTGACAGAGCCGTAAAAAAAATATATTCTATTTCCGTAACTACGGAAAAAATTCCCAAATAGGATAAGAGAAAATTACTCCACTCTTACAGATAAATTAAATAGAAAACTGGGGATGCGCTCCCCATATTTGAATTAATAAGAAAATTAAGGCCTACATATGAACAAAAAAACAGAAATGACATCGCTACTGTGACATCACCTCCACGCCTTTCCCACTAAAAGTGGTATGGCGTGCCATTGGGTCACGTCACTCGTGTTAGCAATCGGACTTTTTTGTTTGTTATTCGTGCATAATGTAAATATCTGAAAATCTGAACTATCCCAAATTGTGTATGTAAATCTGAAAATGTATTTTATTCATTCATAATATAAATATATTATTATTTTGTTATTAACTTTATTTTCATTATTTTACTATTTTTCTATCTACGTGATTTTACCGAAAGAACCATAGAACATATAATATATATTCTTGCTGTTTACTGCATTATAACTAAATATTTTTCAACTTCAGGAGCTGTAAATATTTGTCAGTAGGATGCATTTTCTTTTCAAGAAGCACCTATTTATTTGATGTTTTGAGTAAAACATCAAATAAAAACACAGCGAATGTTCAAAAGGTCAATAACCTTGGTCACACAAAGGAGACATTGTTGTTGTTGTCGTTTTAACGTTGGTGGCTGCACTGTGTGGGGCCGTGCTGAGCGCTGCCAGCGCGAGCGTTCATTGTTTCTGGCGCCGTGCCCGACACACGGACGTGCCCCGCGGGCAGCCTCCTGCCGGAATGACCCGTCGCGTCTCCACCTCAATCCCATATGCATCCCCCGCGTGGTGTACCGTGCACTCTGAAGCCGAGGTTGGGGCGGGGGGTGGCGGATGACCGGGGGTTGGGGGGGCGGTGTAAATAAAACATGAGCGGTGCACAGCCAGTGCTTCGTCACGCAAGGCACGCGCCGCTGTGCATTAATTGGCAGATGAGGGCTTGTGATGACATAGCGGGGCATCTGAACGCTTAGATATACCCGTGTGTGACACACGGGTATATCTAAGCGTTCGCACTAAGTTCCACGCTGGCTTCCAGAATCGAAAATACCGGCAACCCGGATGGACATAGGGGCCGCCCGAATAAAGTCATGGGAATGTGGCATGAGAGTCTTCGGAATTCAGAGACTCCGGCCACAAAGCCCTGGGGGCATTACTGCGACATCTGGCGGCCGCCGAACCCACAAAGGCCCAGAGAGGAAAGATGTCTGAGAACTGTCGCTGCACCATTGCAGACATCAAACAAAGCCATCAAGCAAGGTGCACAGGACGGGAGGTCCAGAAAGAATAATGCAGGAACCTTCAGCAGTGCCCAGCGTCATCCCACGTGGCATGTGCCTGACATACATTGGAGGAGATTATCGTGGCAATATTATCCGTAATAAAGGCCTATATGTCAAACGTGGCAATATTAGCCACAGAATACCATACAACTGCCGGGATAGACGGAATTTACCGAGAGCTCCTCGAAACCCTGGGAACAAAAGCGAGACGGCCGCGGAGGGATCCCAGCACAGAACCTCAGCACGTGGACGGAGGCAAGAGTCATCGCCCTCCTGCTGCAGCAAGCAAAGTGCCAGAGGGCCCCACCAGCTCCCGTCCAATCTCTCGCCTCTCCACCGCAAAGGAAGCGTTGAGATTCATCATCGGTGTTTGTGTGAGATCTAGACAATTTTGGCAATTTCAGAGTCATAATGAAGCATTTCTGCTCACGTGTGCAGTGTGGCAGTGCGCTCGTCTCTGCAGACATCAGCTAGTGGTGAAAATTCTATGTTCCCATGGTAGGGGTCAATCTCCCCATAGGTTTCCCACGGTGGAATTCTCACAAAAAGTGTAAATGTATGTATCCCCCGGAGGCAAGAGAGGCTGAGTCACTCCTCAATCAGGATTTAAACCTGTAGAATTTTTACTGTGAGGCGAGTGCTCTGACGGTTAGTTAGGAAGGACATCTGTTCGCTTTTTAAAATAAGTTTTTGGGATTGGGTTTATGAGAGCATCGTACATTTCTTCCACGTTGTGTTGCTAGATTTTTCATGCTTAATAGTAGGTGGAAAACTTTGGTAATTCCCTGGAGACAATGCCCGATTCAACTCGGCCCAGTGGCAGCGTGCGCTGCACTGGGCTACTTGGACACCGGCATTTACAGTCAGCCCACGCTTACACAAATCCCCCAGCGTGGAACATTAGCACTGACCTCATTACTTGGATGGCCAGCTGTGTTGCAAAGGGAACGTAAGCATTTTTCATGTTGGGCACTGCATGTCCACCCGCACCGCCGATCGGTCGCATTTTAATGGAGCAAATATTAAAATTGATTAAAGTGTCTTTTTTCGTATCCAGAGGTGGCCGAGTGGCTCTGGGCGCTCACCATGGCCACGTCGGAGCTACTGAGCCAGCGTCGCTGAGACATCCCGGGTTCAAATACACATTTCAACCACCCAAAACTGAGCGGGGTCTCGGTAGTAGGGAAATTGTTGGTCTCAGATGAGCTTTTGCGGCCGTCTGGAACGCTCTTCCTTCCGATATTAGGAAGTATACTGGAGCTATTCGCTTTTAAATAACCTAGATTGAAAATAATTTCTATATAACTGCTTTTTGTGTTTGGTTTGTTGTCCTTCTCCCAGAACATAGATGGACTCGTCCATCTGAACAACTGCCAAATCGCTGTCCGTGGTGCTAACGTTAAGAAAAAAACGCCACTTTTTTCAAGTTTTCTTGCTGTGGTTTTCACACCTGATGATGATTGCTTGAGTTGCAGTCGAAACGTCGTGATAATTTTATTGTTTTAGATTTTTATTATTTTATTGTTTCCCTTCTACGTGACTTTACCGAAAGAACCAAGAATATTGATCGTTCAGTTTTTAGGGACTGTTATTTTAAAATTCCACATTCCTTTGGAAGAGGCCAGTCTTTCCTCAGGACAACCGCTGTCAGACCTCCCAAAGAGCGGTTCTCATTTTATTAGAAACCGGAAACATGGTTAGCCGAGTCAGCCCCCAGCTTACACTTGAGCTCAACAAAACAACCTTCTGATTGCGGTTACAGTGCCTCTGCTGCATCCCTAGTCACGGGTGTGGTGCACGCGTCCCCCTCCGCACAGGTCCCCACAAGATCCGCTTCATCCCCGAGATGGTGGGACCCATCCTGGAGATGACTCTCATCCCTGAGACTGAGCTACGCAAGGCGACCATCCCCATCTTCTTCGACATGATGCAGTGCGAGTACCACTTCAACGGCTCCTTCAAGAAGGTTCGCGCCAACCGGCCCACAGCATCGTTACACAAACCGCATTTTGGTACACCGTTGGTGTTGTTATGCGCACGGTAAAAGCGCAGGTGTAACCCGGGCGGGTGGTGACGCACGCGCCTGTAGTCCCGCGCTGTGGCGGCGAGGGTTGGTGGATCACCGCATGAATGTTGTGAAACTCCCTGTCCGTGGGCGTCGAGGAGAAGCCATGCCAGAGATCGCCAGGAGAAGGCGGTACAGCAAACATGTGGACTCCACCCGTTCTGTCTGTTTGGGATAGAGTGTTTCCCCCTCACCCGTGTGGGTTTTCTCCGGATACACCGGTTTCCTCCGGCATGTAAACATACAATAATTGGCCAATAACACCTTAACATATAGAGGACTGCAGTACTTGGGCAATAGTTGGCACCATTTCATCGCGTGGCTGCCTTCTCGCTTGTCCGCGGTTCCTCACGCCTCTATGACAGTGAGCGGACACTGTGCGCGTTACAAGTGGAAATTATGAGTATATTAGGTGTGCCATCATCATCGTCATCAGCCATGATTAATCCACTGATGGATGAAGCCCTTCCCAAGCCGTCGCCACCCCGTGCGCTCCTGCGATGTAGCAATCCATTTAGCGGCGCACACGAGCTGATTTTATCCTCTCGGGCACCTTCGCTCCTGACGACAGTGACAAAGATCCGAACCGTATAATTATTTACGTGTTAGATGACATCCATTTGGACCAAAGAGTAAACCACTGTAGTCTGTGCTCCTTCAACGGAGGAGGAACAGCAGCAAAACTGCACAAAATGTATCCTGAAGCCCTCTCTCGTCATGGCCAGCAGACATTGGCATTTAGCTCCCCAGCCACTGACCCCAGCCACTGACCCCAACCACTGAACCCAGTCACTGACCCCAACCACTGATCCCAGTCACTGACCCCAGCCACTGACCCCAGTCACTGACCTCAGCCACTGACCCCAACCACTGACCCCAGCCTCTGACCCCAGCCACTGACCCCAGTCACTGACCCCAACCACTGATTCCAGCCACTGACCCCAGCCACTGACCCCAGCCACTGACCCCAGCCACTGATCCCAGTCACTGACCCCAGGCACTGATCCCAGTCACTGATCCCAGTCACTGACCCCAGGCACTGATCCCAGTCACTGACCCCAGTCACTGACCCCAGCCACCGACCACAGGCACTGATCCCAGTCACTGACCCCAGTCACTGACCTCAGCCACTGACCCCAACCACTGACCCCAACCACTGACCCCAGCCTCTGACCCCAGTCACTGATCCCAGTCACTGACCCCAGCCACCGACCCCAGGCACTGATCCCCGCCACTGACCCCAGCCACTGACCCCAGCCACTGACCCCAGCCACTGATCCCAGTCACTGACCCCAGCCACTGACCCCAGCCTCTGACCCCAGTCACTGACCCCAGCCTCTGACTCCAATCACTGACCACAGCCACTGACCCCAGTTACTGACCCCAGCCACTGGCCCCAGCCACTGATCCCAGCCACTGACCCCAGCTTCTGACCCCAGTCACTGACCCCAGCCTCTGACTCCAATCACTGACCACAGCCACTGACCCCAGTCACTGACCCTAGCCACTGGCCCCAGCCACTGATCCCAGTCACTGACCCCAGCCACTGACCCCAGTCACTGGCCCAGGGCAGTGGGTGGAGATGAGATTCCTGATGTATAGAATGTGTTGTATTTACACTCTCCATTCCCCATGCCTCAACAGCCCCCCCCCCCCCCCATGCTCCTCCACGGCTTCATTTTTCATTTAGTGCGATTTTATAATGGCTAGCGAAATTAGAGTGGCTTTTGAACCTCTGCCATAATCTGTAAAGGCTTTGCCATTCAATTAAGGATGAAAAATAATAAAGTGAGAGCGTATTTTCTTCTCGAATAAGCCCTGCCCGTGCCACCAGCCTCACGTTTCAAAACGAATTCGAATTCTACAAAGAGAACTGACGGTGTTCCCTGAGATCCACCACTCAGGCCCAGGGCCAAGGGGAGGGGGGGGGCCTGTTTGTCAAGGGTCGTCACGGTGGCAAGATGTTAACTGCCTCGCCCGGTATGCAGGAGGTTGTGGGTTTGGGAGTTGGCATGTTTTCTCTTTCCATGCTCGTGTGGAGTTTTTTCTGGGTTTTTCCCTCCACATTTAGAAACGCGCATTTAGAGTATTTGGCTGTTATAGACATTGCCACGTGATAAGCCACTTCGTTGAGCTATCCCTTGTGGCCAGATCGTTTCTGACAAAGAGATATGCAGCTCAGTGTGGTTAAAATAAAATATAGTTATACTTTATCGTTTAGTTTGATCAGGGATGGTATCCCCACCTCCTTCAGCAGGATCATTACGGACGTCGGGGACGTGTCATTAAATCCAGGGAACGTAGTGCCCTCTGACATAGCAGAACGTGACCGCTCCTTGCTCCTCATTTGTTCTTTGTTTGCTTTTGTTGGTGATTTATTTTTGTTCTCTTGTCAGCAAATTGCACGCACGATACACGGGGTTTTAAATATAGCAATAAAAGTACACAAACCTGTAATGCCAGGCCCATCAATCAGAGTGGCTTCATTTAACCACATGTCTTGGCACACGCCGCGCTGGTTGGGAAATGTGAAGCATTGTGCCTCCGGAAATTGTAACATTTCCATTTTTACACTTTAATGTAATAATCAGTTTGTTTGGGTGGGTGGATGCGTGGCGAAGCTCCTGCCTCCGCAATTTGAACTGTGCATTTCAAATCTCGGCAAAGAGGTCGACTCAGCCCATCACTGTTGACCTCCTCTCTGCAGGACGTGAACAGTGCGTACACTTGGCCCTTCCATAGGAATATAACATTGATGCCCCTGGCTCCGCACCAAAACATATAAGCAGTGCCCAAAGCTCACTTAAACAGAATAAACACGTGAACGTTTTTACTTTAACGATAAAATCCACACTGAGAGGATTTAGTCTCAAGAGCGTCCTAAATTGCAATGTTTTGCCGATTCGTTGTTTTAGGGATTTTTTTTGCACGTGGGAAAAAAATTGCAATTGCAAAGACAAACCTTTGATATTACTTTTTTGGCAGGAGACCCTCCGTCAATAGCATCATCGGCACCATTCAGGACTTAACTAGGTTGAGATAAATGACACTGGCACCAATCAAAGTTTATTGTACGTGTTGCAATTCGTGCCTTGACTCCTAAATTTCACATTTAAACTCAAGACTCATCCACCGAGCCCAAGAGCACATTTGTCCGTGAGCTGCATGTGGCTTCGTGGCGACCGAGTGGCTTAACGGTTCGTGGGGGAAAACAGAGTTTGTCCAGCGTCAACGCCGTGAAACGGCAGCAAACCTCCCCGAGTCTACCAAGGCTCCGAAACTTACCCTTGTGATGCGACTGAATACAGCAACTTCAAATTATCATTGGTCTCATTGTGGAGTGTACACACACATATATAACAAAATGGACAGATGATACACCTCCTTTATATATATATATCCATCTGTCTATCCACATAAAATTTGAAGGTATTTATTTATACAACGCATCGGCCCACATGGCCTTCTGGAAATGCATAATTTCAGGAGCAGTAATTCGATACAAGCAACGCTCTGCATCTGTGTCGATATATACAGTGTCTCATCAGCAGAGTAAGAGCGGAGCTTCATTTCATTGACCCCACAAGGATGATGGCATGAGTTGACCTCCAAGCAGAATTTGAACCCACAATGCCGCTCGTGCCTGTCGTCTCAAACGAACCAGTCGTCCACAGACCGGACGTGTGCATGGTCATCATGGTCATCATAGTCATCATTGTCATCATAGTCGTCATGGTGATCATGGTCATCATGATCATCATTGTCATCATGGTCATCATGGTGATCATGGTCATCATGATCATCATTGTCATCATAGTCATCATGGTGATCATTGTCGTCATGGTCATCATGGTCATCATGGTGATCATTGTCGTCATTGTCATCATGGTCATCATGGTGATCATTGTCGTCATGGTCATCATGGTCATCACGGTCATCATTGTCATCATTGTCGTCATTGTCATCATGGTCGTCATGGTCATCATTGTTGTCATGGTCATCATGGTCGTCATTGTCATCATGGTCATCATGGTGATCATTGTCGTCATTGTCATCATGGTCATCACGGTCGTCATTGTCATCATGGTCGTCATGGTCGTCATGGTCGTCATGGTGATCACGGTCATCATGGTCATCATGGTGATCATTGTCATCATGGTCGTCATGGTGATCATGGTCGTCATGGTGATCATTGTCATCATGGTCATCATGGTCATCATGGTCGTCATGGTCATCATTGTCATCATGGTCATCATGGTGATCATTGTCGTCATGGTCATCATGGTCATCACGGTCATCATGGTCATCATTGTCATTGTCATCATGATCGTCATGGTCGTCATGGTCGTCATGGTGATCATTGTCATCATGGTCATCATTGTCATCATGGTCATCATGGTCATCATGGTCATCATGGTCATCATTGTGATCATTGTCGTCATTGTCATCATGGTGATCATGGTCATCATGGTGATCATGGTCATCATGGTCATCATGGTGATCATGGTCATCATGGTGATCATGGTCATCATTGTCATCATTGTCATCATGGTCATCATGGTCATCATGGTCGTCATGGTCATCATTGTCATCATGGTCGTCATGGTGGTCATGGTCATCATGGTGATCATGGTCATCATTGTCATTATGGTCATCATGATCATCATGGTCATCATTGTCATCATGGTCGTCATTGTCATTATGGTCGTCATGGTGATCATGGTCATCATGGTGATCATGGTCATCATGGTCATCATTGTCATCATGGTCGTCATGGTGACCATGGTCATCATGGTGATCATGGTCATCATGGTCATCATTGTCATCATGGTCGTCATGGTCATCATGGTCATCATGGTCATCATGGTGATCATGGTCATCATTGTCATCATGGTCATCATTGTCATCATGGTCATCATTGTCATCATGGTCATCATGGTGATCATGGTGATCATTGTCATCATGATCATCATGGTCATCATGGTCATCATTGTCATCATTGTCGTCATTCTCATCATGGTCATCATTGTCATCGTGGTCGTCATGGTGATCATGGTCATCATTGTCGTCATGGTCATCATTATCATCATGGTCATCATGGTCATCCGTAGCGGGGGGGGGGGGGGGGGGGGGGTGGAATGGTGGTGGTCATCATCCCAAGCCAGAGTTGTGGTGGGTGGGTGTGGCCTCGGCCCTTTGTTAGGCAATTAAGGCCAGGTGGATTGACGGTATCAATTGATCAAGGCCAGGTGGGTTGACGGTATCAATTGGTCAAGGTCAGGTGGGTTGACGGTATCAATTGATCAAGGCCAGGTGGGTTGCCGGTATCAATTGAAGCTTTGTCACTCGTAAAGCTGACGTAAAATGTCCTTACTGATCGAGCCTTTTCGAACGCCTTGTGAAGTCCTAAACAACTCGCTAGCAATGAGCAATACCTTGTCATCAGATTTAGCTTTGTTGAGTCAACTTGCTTGGAAAAATATTATTGCATGTGTATGTGTGTGGATTTGAAGCTTTCGTGACTGCAAAGATCCATACTCTTTGGTTCTATTCGGTTCATGGGTTCTCCCTTATCACCAGTGATAGCCAATGTTTTCATGGAGAAATTTGAATCAGACGCCATCCAGACTTCCACCCTCAGACCTTCCCTGTGGAAGAGATATGTGGATGACAGTTTCGTCATTTGGCCACATGGCCTCCCAGCTTTGAACCTTTTCCTACACCACATCAATTCCAGACACCCTGCCATCAAATTCACCATGGAAGTGGAGAAAGATGGCAAGCTACCATTCTTGGATGTTCTGTTTGAGAGGAGACCTGATGGCTCATTGGGGCATTCTATCTACAGGAAACCCACCCACACAGATTCCTACTTGAAGTCTGATTCCCACCACCACCCAGCTCAAAAGAATTATCTCATCAAAACGTTATACCACAGGGGTCATTGCATTTCGGACCAACACCATCTGACCAGTGAATTAAAACATGTACACCTGGCCCTCAAGAGAAACGGATACTCTGACCGTACCATCCGCCAAGCTGTTTCTCCCTCCATACAGAAACAACCACTTGATACTCCGGTCAAAACCATAACACTACCATATATAGCAGGCGTTACTAATAAGATCTCCAAAATTTTAAACAAACACAAGATCCTGGTCCGGTTCAATACAGTACACAAAATCGGTGACCTGATTCCATCCGTGAAGGATGTCATCCCTGACTTAAAGTACCCCGGAGTTTACAAATTGAGTTGTACCTGCGGTGATTGCTATATCGGGGAGACGAAACGACATATCTCTGACCGAATTCGCGAGCACAATCAGATCTGAAACACGGCAGAACGAATTCATCTGCTGTCGCTGATCATTGTTACAACGCTATGGGTGATCATGAGATTGTCTTCTCCGATACCAAGGTTCTCTGTAAACCTACAGGTTATCACCAGAGATTTGTCCACGAAGCCACTCAGATATACAAACACAGACATAACTTCAACCGAGAGGATGGTTTCAAATTAAGCAACCATTGGAAAGACGTTTTAAATCATACCAAACGTCAACTAATTTCTAACAGCAATTTCAAGTGATGGTATACCAAGCATATTCCTTCCGAACTTTCTATTAAACCTTTTTTTATACTCTCCCCTCACAGCACATTCTTGCCGTTTCTATTGCACACACACAGTGACCCATCCTCCGCATCCTCTATACAAAAATATGCTAATCCCCCAGCTAATTTTCTGACTTTAACACCCTGCTGCTTCAACACTTGAACACAGCTATTTTTGATGTGTAAACTCCTTTGTCAAGGCGCCCTGCTCCTCCCACCGAGCTTAAAAGACGCTGCGAATCTTAGCAGCGGTCATTGAAGTGCTGTCGTCCCGACAGTTCTGTTCCTTCACCTGAAGAAGACCACTTGTGTTGTGGCCGAAACGTCGTGATTTTTGTTGTTTTATTTTTTTACCTACGTGACTTTACCGAATAGAACCAAAGAGTATGTATGTGTGTGCTCGATGGTCGTGTCTCAGCTGATCTCCCACCTCCTCCATTTCACATCTTCTCACGCCTGTGATTTGGGTCTCCTTTTGAATTTGTGGCCCTGTCCGTGTGCACAGTTTGAGAATGAGATCATCACGAAGCTGGACCACGAGGTGGAAGGAGGCAAGGGTGACGAGCAGTACAAGGTCCTGTTTGAGAAGATGTGAGTTGTTGCACGATACCGGTGAACATCGGATCATAGGTGCAGCATGTGACAAGCAGAGGTAGTGGAGCCGTAGGGTGTGACACCGAAGGGTCGCCGATCACTGTGACCCCCCCCCCCCCCCCCCCGCGTGCCGTCGCCTCTCCGCCGCAGCCTCCTCGACAGCTGTCGCCGGCACAAGTACCTGGCGAAGCCGGGCGAGAGCTTCGTCATCGTGGTGAAGCGACTGCTGGAGCGGCTGCTGGACTACCGCATGATCATGCACGACGAGAACATGGACAACCGCATGAGCTGCACCGTCAACCTGCTGGTGGGTGGACAACGTGCCGTGCTCACCACTCACCCCTCTCCAACACCACCACCACCACCACGCAGGCCCGGATTTTCTCTCTCTTTGTCTCTCTCCCCCCCACGGCTGCCCTGCTACCACGGAGTCGTAATTCTCACATGCGCAGCACTGGGGACGCGAAATGTGCCGGTTAATATCCACCGTCGAGTTCAGGGCGCATGCAATCGAAATGCCCGTTGTAATAATCGAGGTGTTTTTTCTCTCTCTGTGCTGTTCGTGTTCAATATCATGGGTTTTGCGTCACCTCCCCCAAAGGGAACCGCTGGCTGCTACGTCCACCGCAGCGTTAGGGAAAGAAAAATAAATAAACAACAACAGAAATCTATTTGTGAACTGAATCCCACTCCCTGAACGGTGACAGTTTGTCGAATGGCCACGTGAAGAGACGGGTGGGTGGTGGATTGTTACACTGCTCCAGTTATATTGGAGAAGTGCACCTCTAAACTTATTGTCAAGGCGTATTCAGGTAGTCTTGTATTAGGATGCAAGACATGTTAAAGAGGGGAGATAGTCAAGGCAGAAACTTGTGTGTATGCCAATCAGTCAATCTTCATTTTACGTGCCAATGTTGCCCTCAATAACGTAGGCATCGGTGCACATTACAATGGAATGGGAACGGTACAGGGGCATACAGCAACAGGACGTATGGCGCAAAGACGATAACAACTCTGAAGCCTTCAATCACATTGAAAAGAATTATATTTGACTGGTGTCCTGCGTTTGTCTTGTCCAGAATTTCTACAAGGAAATCGAGCGGGAAGAGATCTACATACGGTGAGCAAAACGAGCCACCGTGCCTGGCACCAAAACTCATAAACTCTCGGTGTTCTGATTGTGAGTTGCGTGGTCTGAACACAACGCCTGCCCGACTGCACAGTGCCTAAGAACCGCACACAACAAACCGTATATGTGTTCCACACTTGACTGCACGTGCAACAATTAACCGTGTGTCTCCACGTGTTCCTGTCTCTCAAAGTCATCAGCCACTTTGCTCTCACAAACGTTGGAGCAATACTCAATTCAAATTAGGATCCTGAGCACAAGGGTAGGCATTTCACATTCCTATTCCAGGTCACTATATAAAATGGGACTTCTAACTTCCCACCAAGTGGGTAGCCTCAACAAATGTTACTAATTTTACCAACCATTGGTGAGATCAAGTTGATGATTATTGCCTGAGTTTACTCTGACCAGGATTTTAAACTCCTGCCTTGTAATAAATGAGCCAGGGGCGCTCCTGTGGCTGGAGCACCTTCCTGCTCCTCCATCATCATCATCATAAAACCACCACTTTCCAAGAAGTCATCGGCGTACCCAACAATACTTGGAAGGGCATCATCATGCAGTTATTGTCGAAAACGAATTCCTTCCGGAGATACAAAAATTATCCATGAATAGGTATCCTCTTCAAATTACTCCTCCTGCCCCTCTCCTCGTCCTCCCCTCCCTCCTCTCCTACCACGATTCCCAAACCTAGGCCCTGCCACGGATGTGACATTTAATTTGAAACACTCTGCACATTGCCACATATAAAAACACACAATAAAAAGATACGACTGATCTGCTGCCACACGCTTAGGATTTCTGCATAAATCCAGCGGCCGGCGTTAAATGACTTTGCGGCGGCACGGCCGTGCATTTCCGACGCAGCACGTGCGTCGAGCCCGCGCTGCTTCTACGGAGAAATTGCGTTGATTTATTTGACGTCGCTCGCAATTTACGCTCCGACGCCTCCCCGAAGCCCAGACTGCGCGCGCCCTCGGCCTCCCGGACACACCTGGCTGGCTCGGGGCGGCGGCAGTGCCGCCGTCGTCGTTAATCAGAGATCCCGTGGCTGCTGTGCCGTGGCCATGGAGGCCTCTAGTGTTGAGCCACGCCCTGAGTTTGACCCCCAGGAGGTCGACGGGAATGGACTTCATTCCCACACGAAGTATTTGGCGACGCTGCTGGCAGTGGTGCACACAAGCACAAAAGAGAAAAAAAAATCCACACGTCCGTCATAATCTTATTTGTTGCCCGTATTATATTGTTCCCTTTTAAGGCAACGTTAATGACAAATGAGTTTGTGTCGGTGTTTTTAATTGCATATGGATTGTTTAGTTCTCACTTTGTTTATTCGTGGATTTGTTTTCCTAATTTTTGCGTCAGTCGTGCCGGGGGCATCCCCGCGTTGTTGTGGTCTCCACGCGGGACAGCGAGCGGTGGAACATCGCGTTGCGGTGATGGTTGGCCCCAGAAGAGGATGTAGCAGAACTACTTCTGGAGTCTCTTCAATAGGCTTGTTAGTCACACTTGGTGGTGCATCATTATATATTTCCTTGCATGGATATCAACCATTTGTTTTAATCCTCCAAATTTGGATAGTCTGAATTAAGTGACAGACAAAATAAAATACTTGACAACCCAATTTAATAATTGGTGGCTGAAACACGGTATTCCAGATCTGTAAATAGGCCTGATATTGGTCCACTGAGCCACCTTGTCTACCTGTGCACAAAGATAATGTATAATATAGGGGTTCCGATACGTGCCTGCACATCAGGCCTGTCGCACAGCGATGAGTGCCCCCCCCCCCCCCCCCTCGCACCACCGCGTGTGTCAAGCAATGGGGAGAGGTCTGCTGGGAACGCAGTGCCAGAGAAAGCGGTGAGCAAGCGGTTGCATGCCGCTGCCTCCTAGGTACCTGTACAAGCTGCACGACCTACACCTGCAGTGCGACAACTACACGGAGGCCGGGTACACGCTGCTGCTCTACACCCACCTGTTGAAGGCGAGGCTTCTGCAAACCCCACACTGCTCCTCCTTCCCATCCACCGCCGCCCCCACCACAAATAGATGCCAGTGGCGTGCCGTCGTGACTTCTGGGCTGCGGGTGTTCATTCTTTCATCGCGTATAGCCAGCCAGCGAAAGGACCGTTGCTCCGAACGTGTGCTGCGAGCATCGCCCCTAAAATTCTGGAACGCTAGCGAGGTAGATAAGTCGAGAGATGACCTCTATTTACAACGTGGTAAGAAGAACCCATTTCGCACCGAGGATCTTTCGAGGGAGGCCTGAGGTTTAGTAAGTACGGCAAAACAGAAGCAGATTTGGATTTTGCAAAGCGCTACGATGCAAAAACACCGTTTCAAAAACATTACTCAGTAGTTACCAATAAAATGTAAATTAATAAGTTTTCGCATTATAAATGCAAATTATTTAATGGCAAGAAAAATATTCGGTCTGCAAACAAACAAGACTATACCATGAGTAAATTCTACAGTATTAATAATAAAAAAAATCCTAAGATTGAAGAGGTGGCTGGTGGCTCAGAAATCAGCTTGCTGAGCGGCACCGCTAAGATCCTGGGTGCGTAAACCCATTTCTCGGGTTCAGTGAGTTGGTGGTCTCAGCCCACAGTCGCCAATAACCCCAGAAAAAATGTTACTGATCACGTTAAATACAATTCTGCACTTAATTTGACGAAGTGTTGATAAAATTTTTTTTAAAATATCGGGTTTACTATCATACAACGAGCATTAGTCTGGGTGGCACTACGAGCCTCAGAGGTCGCTCTGCGATATCCACCACCGAGCGCTGCTCTCCAGCATCGCTCTGCGAATTTACACTTTGTCTCGTAGCTTGTGATGCGAACAGCGCCGTCAGAGTCAAATATTGTAAGACAAAAAGCACCGGACATTAAACATCTATTCGCGTCGTGCCAAATGCATGCCTGTACATTGTTTCCATTTGTGAAAGTCAAATAATGAGTCGAGCATTGTATATAAATCTGAGACTGAATGGATTGTTGGCGAGATCGTGCATGCAATAGCAATTCACGTGAGAAAAATAATGCTGACAATAGGTGGCGCTTTTGTAAAAAAAAATAAACTCCGAGATTTCAGCTGCTTAAATAAATAAAATGTAAATTATATTATTCTCTCGTCGCAAAAAAAAAAAACAATAGACCTCTTAAGCGGAAGCACAGAAAGTTACGGCGAAGATGTTTTTTAATTAAGGTTCTACAATTTGCTGACCCGTCATAAATAATGAAACGGTTTTGCCTAGCGGCTTGCTAAACGGGGACCGTGCAACCACTCGCAATGTAAGTGGACTAAAGAGTGCGTTTTTAATCGTTGCATTGAAAGCAACATTTGTTTGCGCATGACTTTGATTGTCAAAATTCCTGCGCTAAACGTTCCGTACGTTTCCGCGCGCGTTGCAGTCAGACGTTCCTTCACTCGCCTCATTGACTCCCCATCCTGAACCTTGACCCCCATTAGCCAAACGTGCCCAGCCCCCAAGGTTCCTGCAGCGAGCACGTCCAATTGGGCCTTGCTTTACTCCTAATTGAATGATTTATCGTTCTGTATGTAAAGTCCTCCCACGTGGCCCAGTGCGCTTGGAGTGATGAGCTCACAGTCTGAAGTGTGAGAGTTGAAATCCCAGCTGGGGTTCGGATCATTGTATCATACCTTCCGGGTTTGGCTAAACGAGTTCCACCGCGTGGGAGAATCGACAGCGGTTATTCTTCGGCAAGAGCGGTCCTCGGCATGTGAATTGTTGTCCACCACTGGCTCAGGGCAGCCAATGGAGATGAACACCGCCCCACTCTCACTTGAGCGTGGATGCCATTTGGCAGTGAGGATTGTACCGCGTTCAGTCTCACCAGGCAGTGGGAGGCAATGATGGCAGCTAGCCCATTGCCCTACTGCTGACTAAGATAATATAGCCACAATTTAAAATCATCATGTGGTCTACACCAAGGCCGTTGTGCATTACACACGCACAGAATGGTGATCTAACGTGACGTGCAAAGCATGCTGGGAAGACTGAGCTTTTTGCTGTCTAGATATCACCTTTTAACGTGCAGTATCACCTTAGCCCTGACCGTGGCCGGCCTCATAGTGCTGTGTTAAAACTCAATCGCCATGCGAATGATCGCACTTCGTTGCGTGACGCCGCTGCCCCGCCGGCGCCCTTCGCCCTCCCTTCCTCCTCTCCTCCCCCAACTCTTCCCCCCTCTCTTCTCCCCTCCCTTCGGTCGTCAGTGGTCGGACGATCCGTGCGCGTCGCACTTGAACCTGCGAGGAGCCCAGAAGGGCAACACCCAGCGCGAGCTCAAGGAGATGCTCTACGGCGACATCATCGGCTACTTCGACAAGGGCAAGGTGAGGAGGTTGCGGTGCAACACCTCTCACGATGAGGAGGTGTGGTGCAACACCTCTCACGATGAGGAGGTGTGGTGCAACACCTCTCAGGATGAGGTGTGGTGCAACACCTCTCAGGATGAGGAGGTGTGGTGCAACACCTCTCACGATGAGGAGGTGTGGTGCAACACCTCTCAGGATGAGGTGTGGTGCAACACCTCTCAGGATGAGGAGGTGTGATTCAACACCTCTCACGATGAGGAGGTGTGGTGCAACACCTCTCACGATGAGGAGGTGTGGTGCAACACCTCTCACGATGAGGAGGTGTGGTGCAACACCTCTCACGATGAGGAGGTGTGGTGCAACACCTCTCACGATGAGGAGGTGTGGTGTAACACCTCTCACGATGAGGAGGTGTGGTGCAACACCACTCACGATGAGGAGGTGTGGTGTAACACCACTCACGATGAGGAGGTGTGGTGTAACACCTCTCACGATGAGGAGGTGTGGTGCAACACCTCTCACGATGAGGTGTGGTGTAACACCTCTCACGATGAGGAGGTGTGGTGCGACACCTCTCACGATGAGGAGGTGTGGTGTAACACCTCTCACGATGAGGAGGTGTGGTGCAACACCTCTCACGATGAGGAGGTGTGGTGCAACAACTCTCACGATGAGGAGGTGTGGTGCAACACCTCTCACGATGAGGAGGTGTGGTGCAACCCTCTCGGCCAGCCCTGGAGGTGCACTCCAGGCAAGAATGCCACCGTTACTGTCACGTGATGGGAGGGAAACCCTGGGCCACTCCTAGAGGGCTCCTGATGCCATTTGAATCTGGATCGCTGGAACTGTGGTCAGAGCACCCGGCTCGCAGTTGGAAGGTCACGAGGTCAAATCTCAGGTGGCACGGGCGGGGGTTACCTTAGCTCGTCTATATCAATAACATCGTTACCACTTACTGACCCTTTGTCTACCACCGTTTGACTATTTGTCACACATCGCTACCACACGTGCTGTGTTTGTAAACAAAACTTTGTTATCAGATGTGGTGAGGACGAGGGGGCGCTGCGATGGCGGGGGTGGATCTGCAGGATGTAGGATGGCAGCTAGCCCAGGCCGGCGTCAGCGTGGCACCCAAGGTCTCGATGACCGGGATGCGCTATAAGCAAAACTTTGAGGTTGAATTCAACCATTCAACAAGTTGTGGGATCTGGCAGCAGGGAAGAAGTGGTGAACAAGGGTGTGCTGACGTCAACGGCATTAGCTGTGATTACCTGTTGACTTTAGACTCCTGTTACAGTCGTCACCGTGAGAGGACCGTTGACGGGTCTACTTTGAGGCAGACGTCACGTGACACGAACACAGTGCAGCAGCTGAACACGGCCCATGAGAACGGCATCACAGGTGCCCAAAGTTTCCGCTGGGGGTTGCGTCCACACGATGGCGAGCGTGTGACATTGTACTCACCCTCCGCGTGGCGTGCGTGCCCTTGCATCATGTGCAGGAGAAGGCGATGGGGGCCTGTAAGAGGAGCCGAACCCCACAGTACGACACGGGTTTATGATGAACGGTGGCACGCTCTGTTGTTTGGTGCCCTGTGTGGCGTGGTGCCATCATGCCGTTCCCGCGTGTTTGCACAAATGTGTTTTTTTACGTCAATGCTCCGGTGCTTGTGTGTGGATTTAAAGACGCAGCCCGAAAAAAACCAAGTAAACCACTTGTGTAATGTGTGTACTCCTGGGTTGCGTATCGTGGGCCGCCAACACACGTTTGGAGGTTTGTTTGTGAGTAACTTTAAGGTGTCACTGCCAGAGCTCCCTCTCGTGGTGTCGCATCCACACCGGTGTCCGTCCTCTCATCCTCGTCTCATCCTCGTCTCATCCTCGTCTCATCCTCGTCTCATCCTCGTCTCATCCTTGTCTCATCCTTGTCTCATCCTCGTCTCATCCTCGTCTCATCCTTGTCTCATCCTCGTCTCATCCTCGTCTCATCCTTGTCTCATCCTTGTCTCATCCTTGTCTCATCCTCGTCTCATCCTCGTCTCATCCTTGTCTCATCCTTGTCTCATCCTCGTCTCATCCTTGTCTCATCCTCGTCTCATCCTCGTCTCATCCTTGTCTCATCCTTGTCTCATCCTTGTCTCATCCTTGTCTCATCCTCGTCTCATCCTTGTCTCATCCTTGTCTCATCCTTGTCTCATCCTTGTCTCATCCTCGTCTCATCCTCGTCTCATCCTTGTCTCACCCTTGTCTCATCCTTGTCTCATCCTTGTCTCCGTGTGCAAGCCGAGAGAGAGCCCCCATGACCGCAGCGATGATGCGCGGTGCATGCCGCGAGCCACTGTCTGCTAGTTGATGGCACTCGTAATGGAATTTGAGACCCATAATGGTGGCAACACCATCCTGTAGTCAGAGCTGGGATTAGAGGTGATTTGGCATTTTGAAATTTATGCAAATTCAAGCAACCAACATTTTTTTTAATAGTGATATTGCCATCAAATAGGAACCCGGTTTTTGTTTTTGGGTTGCGTCTGATGTTAAATGTGTTTTGTTTTATATGCATGTGCAAGTGGTTTTGTGCACGTGCATGCATGCCAGTGTGCATTTTATTATCGATTAAAATATCTCTACTGCTGGTCGAGTGGTTTTCTTCTGAACCAGACTAGCCCCTGCCGTGGTAATGTGGACTTTACACCACTCTCAGGGACATCGATAGAGATGAGTGCTGCCCCCATTGCTTGTTTGAGCAGGGAACCTATTTGACTTGGTGTACACATCAAGACTCATGGAGTCTCAATATTTTTCAGGAGGGTCCTGCAATGGGATGGTTGCCCACATTATTCTCGTAATTAATGTTTAACCGTCTACAAATGTACGCGCAGACCTTGGCTATGATTTAAAAAAAATTGATTTATGGCCAATTGTCAATCCATTGCTGAATTCAAGGTGCGCCCTCTCCCACCAACCCACCCCCCGCTACGCCATGGGGGTTGTGACCGTACTTCACCACGCACGGGAATAGTTCAAGTATCACTTGGCTCTCCTGTCAAACACGGCTACAACAGCTGACGCAATGCTACAGTGCCTGAAGTCAAAGTCTCTGCCCCTACGCTCGCATGATCGGTGGGTCGTATCCACTTCCTGTGACATTCGTTTGGCAAGGCGAGCCTTCTCTCCGTGAAGTGGCCACTCACCATGGAGAGCATCCACAATAGGCCGTGCTCTCAGTATCCACCTCGCGAGTGTTGACCAGCTCAGTTGACCATGCCCAAGACTTGAACTGATTTTTTTTTCATATCAGTTGCTCTGCTGTTCTACCCACCGAGCGCTGAGTCAAATGTCAGAGTGGATCGGTGCTCCAAGCAGCGTTGGGGCAGCGCTCATTTCCATTGGGATGCTTTGAGCCAGCTGTGGAATTTACACACTGCCGGGGCGCTGGGACCAACGCAGCTCTATGCCAATTACAATCGAGCCAACTGGCACGGCCATGTGCACTGGTGTTGTCTTAATTCGTGGATTAGGCCACGCGGTTTTGGCCACTCTTTTACTCGGGTGGCGGCGGTGGTGCGGTGTTTGGAGCACCGTGCTACGAACTTTTTGTCCCGAGTTTGATGAACGGCCACGGATGATATCAATGGCAAGTGTGTCTAAACTGATTCTGCACACCCACTCCCCCCTTAAGCAACTCATACTGACCGGTGTGGTGAGGTATGGTCAAACAACCCCATAACTGGAAGATATGCGGAGGAATTCATTCAGCAATGAATTGAAAAGTGGCTAACTTAAATTAATGCATTATCCCCTTGTGTGTGCGTGAGCTAGTGCAGCGGTTGGCACGCTGCGCTACGAACCCAGTGACCAAAGCTCTCACGGCCAACGCCAGGGAAGATTATCTGGCCCTGGACCTCCCCTAGGTCAACTCAGCTTCAAATGAGTACCTGGTGCAGTGTGTAAACATTGCCACTAGGGAAACCAAGGCGGCCGGGCGTGGTGCTGGCCACCCACCCCCTCGTATGCCGTGCCAGCCTTCATAGGTGCTCGCTTAACAGCACTTGCCCCCAACAGTCTGCCAAGGCTATACGGGGGACCTTTGTCTTTGTGCGTGTGCACATTCATGCGGTTCTCTAGATGTGGGAGGAGGCGATCGGGCTTTGCAAGGAGCTGGCGCAGCAGTACGAGACGGAGATATTCGACTACGAGCAGCTCAGCAACATCCTGGTAGGCACCTTCTCAGTGGCCCTCTCCACTGGGGCTGCTCGTTAGTCACGAGCCTCACTGCATCTCTCGTTGACTCAGCTCACAGCACTGAATAACCACAACGTGTAGCTTGCCGTATAATGCCTTAATAAAGATCTTGTTGGCTGAGCAAGCTATGCTCGTTCGTGAGTAAATATATTTTTCTTTTTTTGTGGCCCAGTCCATCTGTGATCCATTGATTTTGAGGTGGGGGTTGGTGGATCTCGCAGAGATCATCATTACATAGCAGTACAGCAAATATCTTCGCTGGATTGTCTTTTTGCTCGTATGTTTAACCTCGCTGGACTCCTCGGCAGAGAAGTTTTGGAATCAAATCCCAGTCACAGGTTGACTCTCTCTGAGGTTGATATGATAAGTACCACTTTGTAAAAAGTCAACAGCTGCTGTCCTATGCAGCGACTGGCCACTGCCATGGAAATATGGAATTTCCACTTCTGGAGATGAGCGCTGCTTCAAATGCTCATTGAAGCAGGGAGACACTTTGACTTTAACTTGGCCGTCGATGAATCACAACGGCTGAATTGCACAACGAACGATCCGTTCATTCCAGCCAGCACTTAAAGCATTATTAACACCCTCGTAGGTAAATACACTGTGGGAACGTGTGCCGGCTGCTAAGCATACACCCGTGTACCACGCTGTTCAGTCTACAACGTCACTGCCTGCACACGTGCGCTGCACCAATCGTGGCACGTTTAACTCTGGCAGTGTTCGGTGTCACATTTTTATTTGGCTGAATCGCTGTCTCTGTATCTTGGCTTGGTGTTATATCTATAACTGTTTTTTGTAGTCAGATGTCTATGCCCTTCTGCATTGTTTTGTTTACACGTTGGAAATTGTTTGCTGTTGTTGCTTTTACATAAACCCGCTGCTTGTATAAGAGAGACTGCAGGAGCCAATGGGCTCTTCCGGGTCACAAATAAGTGAATGTTGTCTCTCTGCCTGTCCGTGCACACAGAGACGACAGGCGAAGTTTTACGAAAACATCATCACGGTGATGCGGCCCAAGCCAGACTACTTTGCCGTGGGCTATTTTGGGCAAGGCTTCCCGTCATTCCTGCGGGTGAGGAGCCACGCTGCCCCCTTGTAGCGTGAGAACAAAATCAGCGCGTCCAGATGGGCCAAACAAAATCAACGCGTCGAGATGGGCCAAACAAAATCAACGCGTCGAGATGGGCCAAACAAAATCAACGCGTCCAGATGGGCCAAACAAAATCAATGCGTCGAGATGGGCCAAACAAAATCAACGCGTCCAGATGGGCCAAACAAAATCAACGCGTCGAGATGGGCCAAACAAAATCAACGCGTCGAGATGGGCCAAACAAAATCAACGCGTCCAGATGGGCCAAACAAAATCAATGCGTCGAGATGGGCCAAACAAAATCAACGCGTCGAGATGGGCCAAACAAAATCAACGCGTCGAGATGGGCCAAACAAAATCAACGCGTCGAGATGGGCCACACAAAATCAACGCGTCCAGATGGGCCAAACAAAATCAACGCTTCGAGATGGGCCAAACAAAATCAACGCGTCCAGATGGGCCAAACAAAATCAATGCTTCGTAATGGGCCAAACAAAATCAACCCGTCGAGATGGGCCAAACAAAATCAACGCGTCCAGATGGGCCAAACAAAATCAACGCGTCCAGATGGGCCAAACTCCGCCAGCCCCCGCCCCCCGCTTGAATCCGTGAGCCCCGTTCTGCACGTTTGCCCTTCCCCGGGTGATCGCGTTGTGTGGTGCTGGGGAGAAGCGCCTTGTCGAGTTGGTGACACGACGCCTGGTTCTCTTTCCACTGCAAGGCATGGCAGATGGAACTCATGCACACTCTCAACTATTTAAAACTCAACTATTTTTTTTATTTGACCAGGTAAGGCCCACTGAGCTGTATAGCTCTCTCTCAGAAGCGACATTGCCACAAATAATAGCCCAACAAAGTGGCTTATCACTTCATTATTATTGTTGTTCATGCAGCAGCAATAATAATGAGCGCACCGCAGTCGATTGGGAGGTGGGTAAAGTGTGGGCCCCACCCACCTCGTCCAACGCATCCGCCCATTGTGGAAGAGTAGATCAAGTTACGCTCGAGAGCGGCTCTATAGAGCTCCCTCTTCCGCCAGCATTGCTATGCGCAATAACTTGCAGGGCTCCGCCTTCACCTTTTACTCTACAACTTAAATTCCGAAGGGTGCTTCAGTCTGAGGCTTGGGCGACGGGTCATCGCACCCCCGCAAGCGTCAAGGTGAGCGGCTGTCGAGTGCGGCGGCGGCGCCGGCAGCGGCGCCCTGTGCGAACGGGGCAGCCACCCACCACTCCCAGCGCACGCCGCCAACCCTGCGATGGCCCCCTTCCCCGTCTCCACACAGAACAAGATGTTCATCTACCGCGGCAAGGAGTACGAGCGGCGAGAGGACTTCGAGGCGCGCCTCCTCGCCCAGTTCCCCAACGCCGAGAAGATGAAGACGACGAGTCCGCCCGGCGAGAACGTGCGCAGCGCTCCGTCGCAGAGTATCCTCCACGGCGTCACCAGAAGGACTCGGGCCTAGCGGGAATGCTCCATACGCATGACATATATTTGATATTTTGCATTGCTGCGGCGCTTGCGTAATTTGCCTCGGCATGTCGGCGCGCCCTGCTCGCGTCGAACATTCGAGGGCAGCTGCCCACCCCCCCGCGTGGCCCCGGGCGAGCCGGCACACGGATTGTGCTGCCAGCTCTTGGCCACCTTGCAACCCACCGGGTGAGAGAGTTGCACAAATCGGCGTGATCCACCAACCCTGTTCTCTTCGGCCCCCGGGTCACGGGTGTGCACCGATCACCTGTAGCAACCTTCGCCCCGCGCCGCCTGTGAGGACACGGGGAGGACACGTCGTCCCTCTCTCGGTGGGATCGGCAATCTTGCTATCGATCCATCTCGGCCAATCGAGACATTTTATGGCTTAATGCCCCCCGTGCATCACAGCATGTGACGTGTCGCTATCGCTCACGGTGTCCGCAAAGTTCATTAAAAAATTGCTGATTTGCATTTCTTTTTTCAGTGGCGATATAAAACAGCGTGCGCTCACTCTTCCATCCACAGAATGCTCTACGCATTGGGGGAGACGTCCCGTTCAGCCTTTTACATTAACTTGCCATCGTTTAGCTCTGTAAGCATTTGGCTCCCTTACAATCCAACGGGTGCCATCGATTAGCTGTAAGCGTTTGACACTAACACTGAGCATCTTAAACGTACTAATGGGTGAGTCTGGCTTTGAGCGTCGGGTCATCATGCAGAATCCTAAGCAGTCTGAGGATTTTGTAGAATGTCTTTCTCAGCTTTAGGTATGATCACAGAAGTCAAGTAATAGGAAGGGGAATCGTTAAAATAAAATGTAATTCAAAAAGCAAATAGGTATAATGTTGAAGATCTATATCTTGGCCGTGTGTTGCTCTTGGATGAGAGTTCAAATATTTATAAGTGAGGGGAATAAAAGACTTTAAAATCATAGTGAGGCACATTGCAATAGCGGTTTAGCAATGTCACTGCACTGGAATTGTATTATACTACGAGAGTGATGGTCCCTACACTTGGCCATAACCATAAAGTATATATAATTGTTTAAACTCTCAAACATGTATAGGACAGCCAAGGACGTGCCGTCTCACTGTTATGTATCCACGGCACGAGACCTCTTGGTGTGCCTAGGGTTACGGCTTCCCCTCAACCTAGGCGCGGCGACCATTGTGAATGGACCCCTGACTGTGACCACCAACAGACATCCAGTGCTTCACCGTTCAGCCCCTGCAGAGGGACCAGCCCAAGTTTAAAAACAAGAGCGTCAACGATCAGATCCTCAAGTGAGTGTGCGTGCCCGCCACACGCGCACCTCCCATTGGGCGCCATTGGCTGCGTGCGTGCGTGTGTGCGTGCGAACCGCGCGCAGTGACATGGCGATGTCGTCCCGAGCCTAGCGCTATTGTGACTTTTACCTTAACACGGCAGCGTTGTGACATTAACCCCAAACTCCAAAGGTACTGCGGCGTTAACCCGAACACGTTCACTTTGCGTTCAATTCACCGCAATACGGTAGCATCGTCGCATTAACGCGCCTCCCCCCCCCCCCCCGACGTGGTCGTGTTATGACATCACAATGTCTTAGCGTTGTGATGTCATTAAGTCGGAGCACGGCGAGTAGCGTCGTCCGGTTAGCGCCAAGAGAGTCGCGATGAGACATTCGTGCCGTTCGCTCCGCCGTCATTCTCTCGGCTCTCTCGGCGCTCGGTGAGATGAGCCATCACCTGACTCGGCTGCACCGCACAGTGTCGAGTCAACGCTCGTCGTGAAACAGACTCGCCCCCGCCATAGGAAAGTGGAATTTCCACCTCTGGTTAAGGTCCACTTTTCTAGGCAAGCGCCACCCAATAACCCGTTTGTGCACGGCGATGCTTGATGTTCGTCAAAGCGACGAGTTCAAAGGAGCTACCTCCCTGTCTGGTTTACGTTGGGGAGGGACAGTGGCTACGTTTAGCCCGTTCAAAGCCGGGTGGCTCTTATTGTTGCGTTGCGTGCGCGTGGACACGGACACTTTGTACAGAACATGCGAACCACATGAATACTGTGACACCGGATGGAGCGGATGACCAACACAACGCCAACAATTGCAGCACTCTCTAGCGTTAATGTGCTTTGACCGGTTCACCCCCCCCCCCCAAAAAAAAAAGAATGTGTTATTTATAAGTTATGCTTATTTTTGTAAAATATAAATAAATCTCAATATGAATATGAATGGCTGCATCAATAAATAAGCACGTAAATAACTGAACATGTGAATAAATCAGAAGTCCGTCTGATGCCGAAGATATTTTACTATGCTTTTTAAAAATCTTAGATGAAAGTAAAAGGTTCCGAAGGTTATGAATGCATGCCGTGTACCACACGGACATCTGTGTTCCACCCACCCTGTCGGTATCATCACGACCGTGAGACTTTATGGGGAAAAAAACAAACCCCACAAGATTCAATTCGCTGAGTGGGCAATGGAATTTGGTTTGCAGCTCAAAGAATTGAATTAGTCACGTCAAGAAATGACATCGTTACTTTTAGCCTTACTCATCAAATATTTGACACTGCTAATATAATCATCATCACATGCCGAGGGGTACATTTCTACCCGAGGCAATTCACGTTATCCTTGTGGCTTGTGACTTAAGCAGCTGAATTATAGATACACGTGACTGACATTATGACTTGTTGGTTTGACGTCGCATCGGCTCGTGATGGCTGTGACACATTTTGGTGCGCTGTCTTTTTTTTTGTGTGTTCAGGTATAAATATTTACATAGATCTGATTCTTAACAAAAGGAAATCCAAAATGAGCGAGACTGTAATATCTTGAACACTTACCACGTGTGGTTCTCGTTTGGGCTGTAAGGATTTGACAATCTGTGTTACCTGGCCTCCCTTGCAGATTGATACTTGAAAGCCAAACAAAGCCAGCGTGCAGCATGAGGCCGCGCATCCCAACTCGGATTTGGGCACGCGGTGTCCTATTGTTTGGAGCTGTTTGCTAATCCTATTCCATCACTGGAACATTGTAAACGAGCGCAGTCTAAAATGCTGAGATACTTGGCGCAGTGCGTGAGCATCAGCACGGGGTAGACAAAGGCTGGCCGGCATGCACGGCGCTTGACTAACTACCCTCCTTGTACGTGTGTCTTTAGGCGTGCTATCTGTGCGTGCGTGCGTGTGGGGAGCGGTAGCACAGCGATTAATGCACTCAGGTACTGACCTGGCGATCCGAGTTTGATTCCCACTCTCACAGCCAACATCGGTGCTGAATGTCTGAACTGCTCCTGGGCCTCCCCTAGGTCGACTCGGCCTTAAACGAATACCTGGTGCGATGTGTAAACATCGGCGCTAGGGAGGCCAAGGCGGCCGGGCGTGGTGCTGGCCTCCCACCCCCTCTCATGTGCCGTGCCGGCCTTTCCAAGGTCCTCGCTTCACCGCACTTTCCCCCGCAGTCTTATTAAGGCTATACGGAGGGGGAACCTTTTGTCTTTGTTTGTATGTACGTACGTACGTATGCAGTTTCTACAAAGTGAATGAGGTTCAGTGCTTCACGTACTCCCGGCCTGTGCGCAAGGGAGACAAGGACCCAGACAACGAGTTTGCCGTAAGTAGCCGACATAACGCCCCCCCCCCCCTCTTCCTGCCGATGTGCTCCCTCGCGAGTTCCCATGCCTCAAGTCAGCCGCTGGTTTTGCCCACGCCTTTCGTCGCTCCGACTTCCAGACCCGCTTGTTGCGCTCGCTAACTCGCTCGTGATTTCTCCCATGAAGTGAATAAAAGACAAAGAGTGTCTCCCTGCTCGGCCCCGCAGGGAGCAACGCTCACGTCTGCTCTCAACCATTAGCCAGCAGTGGAGGGGCCCAGTATATATATAAATATTAACATACGCATGTATATATGTGTATATAGCGGTGGGCTCTCTCTCCAGAAGACTACCACAGTTAGCTTGCCTCACATTCTTTCTCAATTTATTGACCCCGAGGGATGGTGGCTTTTGTCAAACCCCCAACTGGGATTTGACTTCCCAAACTCACGACTGCTTTGCCGCCAACGACGCCACCTGGCCGCGCAGATTAAATTATAATTAACAGGCGATTAATTAATGCATTGCTTTCTAATTTACCAGTCGTCAATAAATACATGAAATTCTGAATACACATTAGTCTGTTCTCCGAGGTGCCTCTTGCATCGTAACTTTCCGAGTTTTGCGCTTCGACAGACACGCACAACGAAGATTGTAACGAGTGCAGACAGACGATCTTAGAAATATCAGGGCAGGATAGGAAAAGCAACTTGGAAGTTCGGAAAATAATTGGCAATAGAAGCATTGTTTATATGTTCAGGAGGAGGTAATGATGGGCGAGACACCTCTGAGGGACGGAGGAGGGCAGGTGCCCAAGACTGCCGTTGGTGGTGGCACACAACAAGGGGAAGCGAGATGGTGGTGATGATGAGATTGTACGCTCGTACCTTGGAGGTCAGATATCCTCTGTGGGATAATGGGAAACCCACTGCCAGCTAGTGGGGGGGCGGGTACGAGAGAGCGGACCTTACCTCGTGGGATGTTGACTGTGCAACAGCCGTGGAATCGAGTCGACGGAAGGGAACAATGACACGATGAGTTCTTGAGATAAAATGCACTTTGCATGAACCTGGTGTTGGGTGTGTGTGCGTGCGTATGCGTGCGTGTGTGCGTGCGTGCGTGTGTGCGTGTGTGTGCGTGCGTGTGTGTGCGTGCACAGAACATGTGGATCGAGCGGACCACCTACAGTACAGAGTACAGGCTGCCCGGAATCCTGCGCTGGTTTGAAGTCATTGAGACTTCAAAGGTATAAACACCACAGGGCGACAACAACAATCACCATTCACCACGACGTGACACTGACGAAACCACAGCACTTGCGCCAGGCTAGGTGCACTTTGAGGCCCACAGCAAAGGCTGACGTGGCAGGTATCCAGACAGACCCCAGGTGTTGTGGCTTCACGGATCTGGGTGATAAAACACAGAGGAGACAATTATCCTTCGTCTCGCCTCATGCTCTAGGGGTAATTGGTACAGTGAGGGAAAAAAAGTATTTGATCCCCTGCTTATTTTGTACGTTTGCTCACTGACAAAGAAATGATCAGTCTATAATTTTAATGGTAGGTTTATTTGAACAGTGAGAGACAGAATAACAACAAAATCCAGAAAAACGCATGTCAAAAATGTTATAAATTGAGATGGTATCACCAGTAGCACAAGAGGCCGCCTTTGCCTCTGCACTAGTTACTCATGTATCGGCCTAAGTTAGCCAAGGAGAGTCTCACCACAGGTTCATGTACCCAAGGAATTGAACGCAGCTGAATATAGCACAGTGGGATATTCGTTGCAACAAGGATCCTCTGTGCAGCTGCACGGACTGCTGTGGGAAGTGCTGATTACGAGCACCTACGAAGGCCGGCACGGCGCACAAGAGTGTGGTTGTTGCCAGCACCACGACCTTTGTCTCCCCAGTACTGATATTTACACACCACATCAGGTGCTCATTTAAGGCTGAGTCAACCTCGGGGGGGCCCAGGACTGGATCAGATATTTTTGTCACCGGTGTTTACCGTGAGCGGGAATCAAACGCTGGACGCCGGGAGTCGTAGAGCAGTGCACTAACCACTACACGACCGATCCGCATCATTGGGCCACGTTCGGTAAGTCAAGAGTAACGGTGACCTCCCTGTCGAGCGGCCGACTCATCACAGAGAAGGTGGAATGTCCGCTATTGCTTCAAACCCACCGACAAACAGAGTAGGGGGACATGCTTTTTGGCGTTGTAAAAAGGACATCTTTCGCGTCTCAGTGGGCTTTCATCGGCTTATGTGTAAAGTATTCCATTGCTTCTGTCTAAGTCCCCATCACCCACCCGCCACTCGTGGCCCCCACCCATCCCCTCCCCTCAGTCCCCTCCCCATCACCCACAGCAACGGCACCCCACCACCCACTCCCCCCCCCCCCCGACGTATCTACGAGTTGGCATTACGTCACGCACATCGCACAAATAGAACGCGATGTCGCACGCGCGACGCCGCCCATCCCAGGGGTCGCCCTCATTAGGGCGGGGGTAGGAGACCTCGCGTTCAATATGCATTACGCTCTGAATAATGAATGCGCTAAGAAACTAGTTTTGGTGGAGGACGCGGGGGGCGCGGAGAGTTGCGGATAGCGGGGCGGTTGTGCGTGCCGGCGGGGGTGGAGAGGAGGGGGGGTGCGGGAGGAGGCCCGGGGGGCTCCGGCGCGACTTAGCGGCACGAGGGAGGGACGTCACGGCGAGACGGGGGGATTGCACTTGAGGCTCTTGAAGAGATGTGACAAGACGAAGGGAGACATGTCCTCCCCAGAGACGATTGTGTGGGTGGGTGCGCAAGTGGGTGGCAGTGTGGGTGGGTGGCTGTGCGAGTGGGTGGGTGACTTGCGCGAGTGGGTGTACACTTGTATATATTGTGTTTGGAGAGTATTGACAAATTGTGGTTAGCACGATACCTCACTACAATCCTATGCACGGTACTATTGACAATCTGTATCAAAATCTGGCGTGGGTCACCCTGGGCTTGACTCGGCCTAAATTGAGGTCCGTTGCACAAGCACAAATAACAACAACAAAAAACTCAACACATCCGTCAGTATCCCATCCATAAATGGAAATGTATAATAGGTGACGTTTCAGGCATTGGCCCTTCTTCAGAGCACATCTGTGATAAGGCGGTATTATTCACGAATGTGTTGAGTTGTGTTTATGCATCTGTGAGTTGGTGTGTGTGCGTTGGGTGTGTGCGTGTGTAGATATTAATTTGTGCATAGTGTGTGATAAAATGTGTGTGTGCACATATTCATAGTCTAGGATTGCCTTTGTCAGGCAGGCCAGTTTCATTTAGTTCCATAGTTCCATTTATTTGGTATAGCCCTGTGAGCCATTCGGCTCTTGAATCGGGTGCAACCGCAACAAACAAAAAAACAAAAACATGAACAAGAAAACATCTTAAAGTGATTATGTGACTGTGCAAACAGAAAATCCAGGAAAAAAAATATCAAAATATTCCTGAAATAGCACCGTATGGGTTTGGGTCATGTTTGCAGTTTTTTTCTAAATCGGGACCAAAAAAAATTATCAAGAAAACTTCTGAAACACAGAAAAATTATTCCAAGGTTTTTAAAAGGTCAGCTAAATATTTTACAAGATCCGCTTACAGCCATTCTCATTTAATATAATATATTCCAAATGTGAAATCTACTGGTGACTAATTAATTCACCCAGTTATGAGAACTACCCACCAATAACTTAACACAAAGGCAATGTTAAAGCTTTTCCACACAGTTCAGCCCAGTGCAGAGACCTTGCCCGTGAAGGTTTTGTTATCCACACAGCGAATTGGAGTGCCCTACCCAGAGAAAACCCCTCCTCCATGCAGGGGGATAACGGCACAAAAGTCTGCACAGGCAGCTTCACAAACCCACTTTCTGTACTGCCATCTCTTGACCAACTCTGAGCCAATGTGGTTGGGAGTCTCACTGCACATTATGATCTCTGCATGATCCACCAACCCCAGCAATGCCAGTTTAGTGCTCTGACACAGGCATTATGAGGCCACTGAGCAACTTCTGAAGCTGCTGTTGTTATTATCATCATCATCATCATCACGTTGAACGCCGTACGCGCACCTGTGCACGCTTGTGCTCAGGTTGAGATCAGCCCGCTGGAGAACGCCATCGAGACGATGAACAAGACCAACGAGAAGATCCTGAACCTGGTGAACCAGCACCAGAACGACGGCAGCCTCCCCATCAACCCCCTCTCCATGCTGCTCAACGGCATCGTGGACCCCGCCGTGATGGGCGGCTTCTCCAACTACGAGAAGGTGGCCGGGTCCCCACGCTTCCCATGCACGCGCGCACAAGGACAAAGAAGCCCCCGTGTAGCCTTAACAGACTGTTGGGGAAAGTGCTTTTAGGGAGTAGCACCTATGAAGGCCGGCACTGTGGCACACGAGAGGGGGTGGATGGTCAGCACCACGCCCGACCGCCTTTGTCTCCCTAGTGGTGATGTTTACACACCACACCAGGTACTCATTTGAGGCTGAGTCGACCTAGGGGAGGCCCAGGACCGGTTCAGATAATCGCCACCGGTGTTGGCCGTGAGCGGGAATTGAACTCGGGTCGCCGGGTTCGTAGCGCAGGGCGCCAACCGCTACACTACCGCTCCACACACACACACATGCACCTAGGAAGACGCGTTCACATGCATGTGCACGCACACACATGCACACATCCCAACGCTGATATTTTCCATCCAACGTTGGTTAACTCTGTCCACGCGGTAATGACGCGACTTCGCCGTCTTTGTAAGGCAAACGGCAGCTGCCGACTTGTTGCGGGACAGAATGTTGATATCCACATCTCTTCCAAACTTTACGCACAGTTGGATAAACATTCGTCAAAAGTGTAAAGCTGTCGCGCACAGTGTATGGAGGGGCTGACTTTGGCCTCATTGTCACCTTTGACCACAGCGGTGCCACGCGTACAGAAACGACAATGCCTACCGTCCCGTAAGGGGCCCTGAACCCCGCCGTCTCGCCCGCTGATGGGAAACTAATGGTGCCGCAAGCTTCCGCTTCGTGACGGGCAATTGGGCCGTGGGTGTCATGGCAATATTAGCCGGCCGTGGCAGAGCAAACAGGCCTGTCATACACATTCGCCCCGGCGGGTTAATGAAAAGACCCTGCTTCTAAAATGTTCATTAAATTCCACCGCGATATCACGGCCTCATTAACCGCAGGACATTCGTGCGTCTCCCTGTTTCCGCACACACGCGTCGACGCAGCCGGTCGACCCCCTTCCCGTCCACAACATCAGTACCCGGAGACTGCTTCTCCTCCTCCTCCTCCTCTGTTGCTCCTATTGTCTGGAACCCTGTCTTCCTGGTAATACGTACTGCCGACTGCCTCTTCAATGCCGGACTTGAGACTTTCCCATTGAAAATCGGAAGGTTGCAAGTCGATCGTTTTATTGATATTGTTTAGCCTATTATGAGAAGGGCAGTGAATAAAGGAACATCGCTATCTGGTAATTCAAGAGTTGGTTGTCTTACGGACAGACGCCCTTGTTACAGCCTTGTTACAGTCATGCAGACTTTCTACTACAATGTCAGGGGTGCCAGCAGAGTTTATTTTCATCCCCATTCTTGTTGGAGCACGGAAACACTTTTGACACTGACCTTTTTGTAAGGTCGGGGGCTCACACGAGCGATGATCCCTTACCCACTCTTGCCCCACCCAGGCTTTTTTCACGGAAAAATACGAGCGGGAGCACCCAGAGGATGAGGAAAAGATCAACAAACTCAAGGACCTGATCGCCTGGCAGGTAAGGGACCCCACGGTAGCAAGATGTCACCTACCTCGCTTGGTATGCAGGAGGTTATGGGTTCAATCCCGACCACCGACGTCTGTATATTTGGAGTTTGCGTGTCTCTTTCCCCGTGGTCACGTGGATTTTGTCTGGTACCTCTGGCTTTTCCTTCCACATTTAGAGTCATGCGTTTAGAGTACTTGGCTCGTAAAAATTTCCACGTGAAACGCCACATCGTTGAGATATCATTTGTGATTGCATAGTTGCTTCTGAAAAAGAGTGATATAGTTCATTGGGCTTAACTGGTAAAATGAAATAAATAGTAGTAGTAGTAACTGTGGCCCACGTTTGCCACCTCCCATGGATATTTTACTCATCCTTCCCACGCTGACGATCCCGGTGACCTAGTTGAGACAACTGGCGACGCACGCGGCAATCGGAAAGTGAGGATTGGTCTGTGTGTCACTCTTACCTAAAACCAGCCTACACTGAGTACCTGGAGTCACTTGTCAGCACGGATGGTGAACAAACAAGCGCAGCCGGTCGTGATGCTGGCTTTACCGCACATCCACCATAATACTGCGTGTACAACGGGTGCTCACTAACAGCACTCTGGCCAAACCTCTCTGTAGCCCGAGGGGAAGGAATCATTATCCCCCGGGCAAAAGCTTATGCAATGCCGGTGGCCGAAGCCACGCACCATTGTCCTATCATCATTATCATCGAACATAATGTACAAGTTACAACACATGTCTCAAGGAGCAACCTTTGTTCTAAACGCAACAGCCAGTTCCTGAATTGTCCAGATAAAATCTCCACATCAAATGTGGAGAGGCAGCAGTTACTCTATCGTCAGGGCCCAGCGCACGCTTGGCAGCCTTACGCTCGCACGCGTTCCCCTGCGTCTCCGCGTATCCACGTGCCCGCGTGCCAGCGCGTCCGTGCCTCCACGTCTCCTCACGACTGCTCGTCTTCAGATCCCCATGCTGGGCGCTGGGATCAAGATCCACGGGGACAAGGTGTCGGAGGCGCTGCGCCCGTTCCACGAGCGAATGGAGGGCTGCTTCCGCCAGCTGCGCGAGAAGGTGGAGCGGCAGTACGGGCAACGCGCGCTGGTGCGTATCCCTCCCAGTCGTGCGCGCCGCGCACGCACGCACCGTGCAGCTGCACTGCTCTCTGCTGGCCCCATGCAAAACTACAGTGGTCTGATCGCAGCTTCAATCAAAGCCTCCAGCTGTAAATCAGCCAGCCGGGCCATGCCACCGGTGCTTTTATTGCGATTGCTGACGTTTCAGACGTTGCCCGCTCCTGTTTGTACCTCCATTGCCGCCGCCGCCGCTGTCTATCAATTGCTGCTACGTATTTTGCCGCCACAGCTGACCGCCGCCTCTGGGCCTGACCCCCGCCACCGTGTCTGCCCCCACCCCCCTCTCTCACAGCCGGCGCTGGAGGACTACAGAGGCAGCCGCGCACGCTCCATGGTGCGCTCGTTCACGCTGCCGTCCAGCGCGTGCCGCCCGCTCTCCGTGGCGTCCGTGGCCTCCGTGGCCTCCGTCTCGTCGCACAACTCGGACGGCGCCGTGCCCCACATCACCGTCTTCGGCAGCGGCGACGGGTAGGGGGGTCCCCCTCCGCGGACGCTCGCCGGGTCTCCCGAATTGGGGGGGGGGGGGGGGGCGGTGACGCGAGGACGTGACGTGGCACGGCGGGGAACGCCGGGTCCCGTGAGGCGGTAGACGGCGACGCAGCAACAATCCGCCGTTGTTCAAATGCTTTGTTGCTGCCGCATCGGTACTCGCTGCCTTCGCTAACCCGCGCGGCGACCGGCATGGTTCGGTGGCCTCACTGTCTCGGCGACGCCGCGTGGCCGCACGCCTCCCACAGTGGCAGACCTCGCCAGTTGTGGCATCTGTCAGAGGGCAGAAAGCGATGGTGAGGTGCGGGTGGCATCAAGTGCTTGTTGTTGTGTTTAGTTTTTGTTGTCCTTGCCCGCCCGCACCTCCGATTAGCACGGCTGGCCGCGTACGGTGCGAAAGAAGTCGAACATCCATACGTACATTAGCGTTCTCTGTCGAGCAGCGATGGGCAACCCGGACTGCAGTCGGTGGGGCACATGAGCACCCCTGCTTCACCTCCGTGGGCCGCAACGCTTGACATCGCGTGCTCTCATCTTCGCCCCACGCGTAACTCTGGACTCACTCAGCCCGGGCTACGGCGAGGGGCTCCGCGGTACGCACGTCGCCCACGACCGCTCTGGGCCTCGGCGTTGGGTTGGACGGCGTTTGCGCCGCCGGTGTTTTTAAGGCGGGGCGGGGGGGTGAACGTCTGCGTCTCTCCCGCCGTGCGCAGCATCACCGACCCGCCGGTGCCCAGGAAGCCTGCGACGGGGACGCTGTCGCGGTCGCGCGACAAGCTCAACGAGGAGGACGAGCGGCGCGAGCGCCACAAACGCGGCAGCCGTCACATAGACGGCTCGGAGCGCGAGGCCCGCGCCACCGAGTCCGGCGCCCCCGCCGACGTCGTGACGCTCACCGAGACGGTGAGGCCACGCGCACCGCCGCGCCGCCGCGTGGCCACCGATGACAACGATCCCCCGCCCGGCGTGGCAGACGAGGTAGTAGGGGGGTGGGTGGCCTAATCCATGGCCCGGCCTAACCTGTGTCGCCACAGTGGCGATGTGTTTACACACCACACCGGGTACTCAATTTACGGCTGAGTCGACCTAGGGGAGGCCCAAGACCAGTTCAGATAATCGTCACCGGTGTGAGCGGGATTCGAATTCGGGTCGCCGGCTTTCATAACGCGGCACGCTGGCCGCTACACCGCCGCCACAACCACTGCCGCACGGGCACCGAAATCAAGTTCTAAATTGAGGGGCTTGTTGCTCCAGACTTTAGGTTGCAATCAAATTAATTGAATATGAACCATCTTTGTAATCGACAGCTCCACGACCTTTGTTCAACGTCATAATCGTTGGCCCTCCCGTGTCGTCCATGTTCCAGATCACACCGCAGAGGCCCCAGCGGCCACGAAGCGCGGTGAACCCCTTGGGAGACCGCCGTCTGTCGCTGACTCCTCAGTCACAGGCCGGACCCGGCACGTCTCGCCCACAGTCCATGGAGTGTCAGCTGCTCTCCCCGACCAGCACAGGTACACATTCGCTCGCTCGCTCGCTCGTTCGCTCACACGCTCACTCAGACGCTCGTTTGCATCATCGCACGCAATCCCACCAGCTCACCGCGCGTGCGAGCTCACTCCCCCACACACCCACGTAGCGTGCTTCGAATAAAAATAGTCAAGGTGGCTCCCTGCTCATACAATCAATGGGGGGGGGGGGGAGGTGGTTGGTGCTTAACTGCACGTGTATGAACATCCACATATGCATATGTATGTATGTTGAACTGCTAATGGGAGTGTGTGTGTGTGTGCAATGTAAACTACGTGCACCAGGTTCCGAGTTCACGATATTCACATCAGGATGCGTGGTGGATGGTGGTGGGGTCGAACCTCCGCCCTTGCCCATCAAGAGCTCGAACCAAGACGGGAGCGACGACTCTACCTTGGTACGCATCGCACGCTCACGTACATGTGCACACTTGCACAAGGAGGGTGGTTCCTAAAGACATGGGTAAAACATGAAAATATTAAATTTTACCTCTCGCCCTCTCGTTTTTTTTTAAATTGGTGGTAACTACTCCCTGCAGGATTTCCTTAAAATGTGAGTGTGTTTAGAGTCGCCTCGTAAACCTTGAAGTTTTCCAGCACTGGTGGAGGTCACAGGAATGGAGGATCCAGCAAAGAGGACTTATAACCCCTGTTCCATTTGATCCTTGCTATTCTATTGTTTTAGAAACTATTCGTTTGGGACAATAAAACCTTCCAGTTTTGTGATTGACCTTTCTGACCCTCGTGAAGAAACCGCTGAATGAATCTCGATTTCCTTGAAATATCATGCGTGTTGTTTTCTCGCGGAGTGTGGGAGGCTGAAGGGGTTAGTTTCGAAATATTGCACACGTACCGTCGTGCTCAATAGCAGAAATCACTCGGGAGGCAAAGTGAATGCTTTTGAGTGGCGTCTTATGGTTGCAACGCGTTTTCACAAAAGGGTTCTGCACTCGTCTCGAAATAACTCGTCGCTCTTGTCTCCAACCCAGCCACCACCCCCGCTGCCGGTCAAAGTGGAGCACAGCAAGGGGACTCCACCTCCACCCCCTCCAAAGGGCTCCAGGGGACACATGCCACAGCTCTAGGGACGTCTGCTGCAACAGCTCACGCGATCGGGGGCTGCCATTTGCGGACCGTCCTGCGCCCTTAACACTTTTCAATCACCTGTCTCAAACGAGCGTTGGGCAGTGCTCATCTCAGTCGGTGGCACTGAGCGTGGCACTCAAACTTCCACATTCCTTTTGGGGTGGGGGGAAAGGTGGCGTGGCCTGATCACGTCACAGGAAGATCTTTTTTTGCCCTTGAATTATGCACGTGGCGCTGTCGTAAATTAATGGGTGGTGGCAGCAGTCATTTTTTGTGGTCGCTCAACAGGAGTACTCGCTGCTTGCGACATTGAAGAGTCCCCCAAAGAGAACAAAACTTTGGTTGGATTAGAAGGCCCTCTCAGCCTCGTGTCGCCAGCGAGCTCACCAATGAGACCGGTATGCAATGGGTCTCCGGTTCAATTCAAGTAATATTCTGGGACACTGCCAACACGTGTGCTCTTTGCTGTAAAGCGAACGTAATGTATTAAAGACCACGTGGCGATACTTGCATGAGTATAGACCACCTGTTGCTGATTTTTGTGCCTGAATTTGAGAAAAAATATATGTATTTTTAAAAATCACACGTTCCTTGATATGTAGTAATAATAATTATTAAAAGCGTCTTCTATTTGTGGGATAGGCGTTACTAAAATATTCTATGTGGCTCAAGATCAAGAAGTTATTATCGCTTATTCCACCTTTTCACGGCTTCCTTCTGCCAGATCTCTCAACTGTTATATAGTCAACACCTCTCGAGTCCACTGTGAGTCTTCCCTTGGGGTTCTGACTTCTAGGCGTCCCTCCCAGAATGCCCGTCTTTGTAAGCCACCCCGTGCTCCCACTCCCACTTAATCACAACCCTGTCTTGATGTCAAAAATGATATCCTGTCATGTTCTTGTCTGAATGTTTACGGTGCTTACTCTGTCCTGCCACTTCAGATACACATGCACTAAAAGGGTGATTTTCTCTTGATTTGTTGCAGTCCAGCAGCAGCATAGACATTACTCTTACTGCAAATGCACGTCTGAACACTAACGCCGCTCAATTTCACTTGGTAGACTTAACATTTTCATTGACTCATTCTCACGTGCATAGGATTTGAAAGTATCTTCAAACATTGGACCATCATAATAACACCGATGTTTACACAACACAATTTCCTCTGTCATTCATCCGAACACATCTGCACCATCCCAGAGTGCTTCATACCATCCCACCCACCTCTTAATGACCCCTATCCCTCGCAGGGATAGAGTTAGTGCATCACTAACTCCCAACCAAATGAATTCCTCTTTGATGACTCAACCAGGGGATGACTTATTGTGCTCTCTGTCTGCCACAAAAACCTCTAATTCTCTTTTTCCAAATCATTAATACGACTCTTGATTTTTGCGAAGGGGGATGCTTGCGCAGTGTCACATTGGGCAGCACTTGCCCAGAGTAATACCAGCACGCGGTTGCGGCCCTTCCACTCTCACGCGGATCGCTCGGCTCCGATCTGGGCTCCCAACTGCAAGGAATTATCTTCGGGCAGTCCCGCTAATATTTTTCCGGAGGTGTGATGCGCGCATGATAAGTGGGCCTCTGAAAGCACCCCGCGTGATGCCTGCATCCTCCAGGCCCACCGAGGTGTGTGGCTTTTGAACAGCGCCTCCCCAATGGTGGACAGCTTTGAGACTGCATTGCAAAAAGTCCAAGTTAGATGTGACATAGTGTACAAAACAACCGGGCTTGATGGATATCTTTTGATTTTCCTATAAGGAACTTACAAGGTGGATGGATGGCAAGGTATAGCGCGCATGCATGGTTGTGTATGTGTGTCCGCACGAGGCATTTAAACCAACAGGAGTGAGCAATGAACATATAAAACTAAATATCCTAAATCCATTAGTGGATTTGCATACTTCTATGAACACAATTCAAACAAACTACTGATCTTTAAAAACACTGAACGTGTAGCTTCGGAAGGCTAGGTTTCAGACCAACACAAATTGTGTTCTTATTCTCAAATGATCGCTAGGCAATGTTTATCTCTGCAGGCCACCCTGGGTCAAGTGGTAGAACTTCCACATTCCTCAGCCAGGGGTCAGGATACCCGTTGCATGTTCTTAGGAAGACTCCACCATGCCACGCCGTGATCACACGCGGGCGACGCTACGGAAGCACCGCTTAGCACCACGATGTTGTAGATCCTTGCCTCCTCACCTTACATCTCCCATGGTCAATAACATCGGTACCATGTGGAAAATAAATTATATTCGTCCAATCCAGAGAACGTTTCGCTGCTTAGGAATGAGGATTTTCTACCACTCCAGAGACAATAATGGGAATGTGTTCCACGCATTGTGTGTATGGTGAACTTCTTTCGCATTATCCGTAGCCCACCGTGCTAATCGGAGGTTCATTTGAGCAGAGACACTCTTGCACTTCGTACTTTGACGTCAGCCTTTAGTGATAGGAACATCTGCACATCCTCGTGTTTTTGAACATCTTTCCAACAACCCCGCATTGCCCAATCAGTGTTCTCATCCACAGAGGTTTTTGTTTGGTTAGATCACGTAAATATGTGTCGTTAAACCCGCCACCACCCGACTTAGCCAATCAGTAAGGGCTTGTCACGTAAACACAGCACACCGATGTGTTGGAGAGCCAAGCCACGACATTTACAATCTGAGTACTCTCCAACACACAAACGGTGTGCTGTTCGAGTAACGAATTGGCACGTTCTGTTTACGTGCCAACCCTTAGCCGCCGTGTCGGGTGGTGACGGGTTTCACGACACACTTATATTCACGCGATCTAACCCAATAACACCTCTACTATGGATGTTGGTCTCGAAAGCCCTGCCACGTGTCTAAACGGAGTGTTCTCATTGCTTACACCCAGCAAGACGGGGCGCTAAGCCCCCTCGAGGTTCAATTCACTTTAACGCAATTGCGCCCGCACACACAATTTCCTTCTGCGCTCGTCAATGAGTCACAGCCGCAGCTGCACCCTCACTACTCGAGAGCCTCGGCTCTGCATCTGTGTACTTCACACTTAAATGCCGTCTCCTTAAAAGCCATCGTCAAAGGGGGCCCCGCGGTGGTGCATTGTCAGCCCGGTACAAAGCGGAAGATCCTCGCGAGGCACTATCGCCGCCTTGCGCATCTTGAGAACCGCACGAATGTGTGCACGCGCACAAAGACAAAGATCCCCCGTGTAGCCTTTAACAGACTGTTGAGGCAAGTGCTGTTAGCGAGCACCTACAGTGAGGGAACAAAGTATTTGATCCCCTGCTGATTTTGTACGTGTGCCCACTGACAAAGAAATGATCATTCTATAATTTTAATGGTAGGTTTATTTGAACAGTGAGAGACAGAATAACAACAACAAAAAATCCAGAAAAACGCATGTCAAAAATGTTATTAATTTATTTGCATTTTAATGAAGGAAATAAGTATTTGACCCCTCTGCAAAACATGGCTTAGTACTTGGTGGCAAAAACCTTTGTTGGCAATCACAGAGGTCAGACGTTTCTTGTAGTTGGCCACCAAGTTTGCACACATCTCAGGAGGAATTTTGTCCCACTCCTCTTTGCAGATCTTCTCCAAGTCATTAAGGTTTCGAGGCTGACGTTTGGCAACTCGAACCTTCAGCTCCCTCCACAGATTTTCTATGGGATTAAGGTCTGGAGACTGGCTAGGCCACTCCAGGACCTTAATGTGCTTTTTCTTGAGCCACTCCTTTGTTGCCTTGGCCGTGTGTTTTAGGTCATTGTCATGCTGGAATACCCATCCACGACCCACTTTCAATGCCCTGGCTGAGGGAAGGAGGTTCTCACCCAAGATTTGACGGTACATGGCCCCATCCATCGTTCCTTTGATGCGGTGAAGTTGTCCTGTCCCCTTAGAAAAACACCCCCAAAGCATAACGTTTCCACCTCCATGTTTGACGGTGGGAATGGTGTTCTTGGGGTCATAGGCAGCATTCCTCCTCCAAACACGGAGAGCTGAGTTGATGCCAAAGAGCTCCATTTTGGTCTCATCTGACCACAACACTTTCACCCAGTTGTCCTCTGAATCATTCAGATGTTCAATGGCAAACTTCAGACGGGCATGTATATGTGCTTTCTTGAGCAGGGGGACCTTACGGTCGCTGCAGGATTTCAGTCCTTCACGGCATAGTGTGTTACCAATTGTATTCTTGGTGACTATGGTCCCAGCTGCCTTAAAATCATTGACAAGATCTTCCCTTGTAGTTATGGGCTGATTCCTCACCGTTCCCATGATCATTGCAACTCCACGAGGTGAGATCTTGCATGGAGCCCCAGGCCGAGGGAGATTGACAGTTCTTTTGTGTTTCTTCCATTTGCGAATAATCGCACCAACTTGTCACCTTCTCACCAAGCTGCTTGGCAATGGTCTTGTAGCCCATTCCAGCCTTGTGTAGGTCTACAATCTTGTCCCTGACATCCTTGGAGAGCTCTTTGGTCTTGGCCATGGTGGAGAGTTTGGAATCTGATTGATTGCTTCTGTGGACAGGTGTCTTTTATGCAGGTAACAAGCTGAGATTAGGAGCACTCCCTTTAAGACTGTGCTCCTAAACTCAGCTCATTACCTGTATAAAAGACACCTGGGAGCCAGAAATCTTTCTGATTGAGAGGGGGTCAAATACTTATTTCCCTCATTAAATTGCAAATCAATTTATAACATTTTTGACATGCGTTTTTTTTGGATGTTGTTGTTATTCTGTCTCTCACTGTTCAAATAAACCTAGCATTAAAATTATAGATTGATCATTTCTTAGTCAGTGGGCAAACGTACAAAATCAGCAGGAGATCAAATACTTTTTTCCATCACTATACCTTACAGTATCAGCTTTCGGGCTAAATACGTTTGCAGTAGTTATACATTGAGGTATAAACGGTTTTTATTGGCTAAATGTGTATCTTGTGTAAACCACCGTCATTGCAAAGCGGTAAACACATAATTACTATTAACTCCCCTGCAGGATGGTGGGCTGACTCGACGGGTGACCAGGGATGAACCTGCATTCTGAATGTGCCATGCCGTGTGCGGTGCCATCTGGCTGTGCATCGCTTTGCAAGTGATTTGTTCTGTAACAGCGCTTGGTAAAACAAGGGGTGCTTGGTAAATACGGCTTGGAATAAGACTTGCATCTTTATCCCCTCAAAGCCTCTTGATATAACGGTCAGATTAGTGTGGTTGTTCGCGAAAAATCCCTACATTATCACGGTTTAGCAGCCCACTACGAAGCTGCGTTCGTCAAAAGTGATTTATTTCACAAACCGCGACCATTTCATCCATTGAAGTGTTTCCTCGTGACTTCTACTGGGACCCACCGTTGTGTTGCACGAAAGCCAGCGTGCAGCGAAGACTGCCGTGTGGTGATGGTGCAGATCAGCGGTAGAGACGCCTTGCCTTGTCAATTAGTATTACTCTATGCCAACATACACCAAGCAAGCAATGAACGTGTACACATTGTTCCTTTGCCCCTGCTCTTGGCTGTCTGCCGCTGTGCTGCGGCAACAATATTGTTTTCCTGTTCTTTTGCCAAAAAAAGTAATTTTCTGATAATTCCTTTATAGCAAACGATCGTTCCGTAGACGAATATGCCTCTGTGACCCCTTGCATGGCAGTGCTGTAACGGTGAGCAATATTGATACTGGTGCATGACGAATTCACAGTTCTCACCTCTATGCCTTTTTGTGTTACTACCTTGCACTATGAACACTTATAATCACCCCACGCCACGACTATGCAACGTGGTGCCTTATGCAAGGTGTCGTGTGAACATGCTGGCTCGGATGAAGGTCACGTTAATACGTAAATATCAATTAAATCCTGGGTGGCTGGGTGACAGTGGTCAGTGCAGCTAAAACTGGGCCAGTCTGTACCATCGACTGTCCAGTGGACATCATAGATCACTTGACATCATTTGCAGGGAGTAAGTTCACTCTGTGCTGGCGGTATAGGCCCATATTGAGAATGGGGAAATATAATCATAAATGTAATGTCAACAACAAACACATTTACATGCCAGCGTCTATCCAGGGACTGCCTTGAAGAAGAGAAACTTTTTCTCAGGTTCTCAAGTGCACGGTTCAAACCGTCCTTGCTGCCCCGTGCTGGGCTACTGGACAATGCCCCCACTTCAACACCTTGTAGCCAATAATCCCCAATGCTGACCTTAAATATGAATTAAATTATACCCCTCCCCCCCGCCCGCCTCTAATGTTAACGCTAAACCTGGCCGTAAACCCACTGTAGCATATTTTATGCTGAAATGTTCTGGCTCGCTTTATATGCAATACAATGACGTAGCCTCATAAGTGGCAATATATTTAGAGATCGTCGGACTACGTTTGGGCCAACTCAGCAGAAACATTTTTTTTTTATCACAATTACCCTCTTCTTTTGTCATAGGGCTTAAGCATCGGGTTTGTTGCTTTCTTGCCCTGCAAACATCTGCGCGATATTGCGTTGAACTCCCTCATTGTGTTCTCCGTTTAAGCAGTACTGTACAACGATTTAAGTAGGTCTAATGATGTCCAAAGCACGAACACCACTTGCCCTGTACCCCCTGGGTTTTCTTCACAAGCACATCTTCTGTCTCAGGATGTTTACAAAGAATGTCTTTGGCCACGTGTCATCCTAACGTCTGTAATCACGATGTACAGATAGATGTGTGTGTATATATATGATCTAAAACTATTCCTTTCTTTTTACCCAAACGTGGACTTTAAACACACAGCTCGGTGTTTTACTTCAAGGCTGCTAATTAACGTGGTTAGGGTTGCACCAGAAATAGTGTTGGGCATCGAGAGTCATTCCCTTGGAATCTTAACACTCTGGATGGAAGTGCGACATTTTGTTATACTACAGCCGTGGGGTTCTTTTTTTTCTCTCTAGAAAACTGCACGTTGCAAAGTGATACAGGCGGTGTGCATATTTTTACCAGACTTTGTAATCATGGCCTTTTGTGTTCATGCTGTGCCTTTTTTGAGACGCGGTGCCTCCTTGCAACATATTAATTTTATGGCTTTTGCAATAAATGTTATTCCATGAACGGCTGATGGTGTGTGCGTGTGCATGTCTTGGTGGTCAGTGCGCAGTGATTCTTCAGCAGTTTTTCCCTCGCAGGGCGATAAATTAAACCCAAAAAGGAGGGGGCACTGCCGAGGTCACATTCACCGTCGCAGAGGTCATGCGGTGACATCTGCTCCTGTAGAACGATCTGCGTGGATTCTAGCGTCCTGATACAAGTGAGAGATGACACCACCTTCAGGAGGCCTTCATCCAGCAGTGCATAGCTCATGGCTGATGATGTTCTCTGCATCGCGTACCATCCTTGCCCCCTGTCCCCAGGCGCCTTTGAGACACGCGACAGCAACAGACGATGCGTTTTAAGGTATTGCACAAGTTACCTGCCCAATTAGTCCATGGGCTTGCGGCACAGCAGACCTGCACTGCAGACTCGCCATTGACAAGCGCCCATCATCACTCGAATGTTGATGTAACCCTTCGCTCAGCCATTCACGAGGGGGGTAGGGGGGGCAGTACACATCTCCATTGGCAGCCCCGAGTCGGTGATTGGGACAGCCACATTCCCGTGTTTTTTTGCAGATCAAGCAGCGTGGCGAATGTAGCAACTGTATTCACTCGGT